CTGTCAATACGGTGTTCATGCTGCTTTAGCTACCTACTTCTTTTCTATCATAACGTAATGGAAACATGAAACATACGTGAAAAAGCGATTGGTATAACTGCTAAATTGTCCAATTGTTTTTCATCTTGTAATTAACTTCCAGAACCGTAAACGTAAAAATTACTGACACTTCATTACCTTCCTTAGAATTTATCCAATTATATTTTAGAATAATATAAAGGTTGATTTTAGCATTCTCCGCTTTGGCGGCTTTCAAAAATTTTCGCGTAATTATGGCATTTGTTTCTGTGCCACCGTTTTACTTTTGATTATAACGTGTAAACAGCGATGCTTGGAAACATTTCCACGGTGGGTATAAGAATTTATTTTGCAAATAAAGGAAAATCGCTTATATAGAATTGGTAATCCTAGAATCCAGCATTGAGGACGGCACTAATACCTCATGCTGTATAACCTTCGTACGGAGATAAAGTGCATCTGTGCTTTGAATATGCACGGAATAAGAAATCACATTTCAAAAGTTCTAATATCATGAAAAATTGTGCTCGTTTAACATTATAGCGAGTGCATTAGTAGAAACAGTATCAGGATCAGGATCAGGTGGTTTTCGCCGTTGAGCGACGTGAGCCGTCAGCGGTCGAGCCACTTTATGTAAGCGGTGGGGTAAGGTAAGTGACGACGATTGAGGTGTTACGGGAAGTGATGATAATTGAGTAATGTCAAATGCAGCTGTAACATGAATGAGGACGATCCTACCCTATGGGCGAACAATAGGACCAGGTATAGAATCTTCGTTATGGGCGAACAGAAGTCGATTGAATGTCGATCCACGCTTTGATTTTTGCATCGCAGTTAGCGGCAGTGTTGCCTCCATCGTTCCATGCACGTTGTAATATGGAATGGTCCATCTATTCTACGTGTTAATTTTATGTGTTTTTGTTTTTGAGCATCTTTTGGATGGTAGAGTGGTTTCTTTAGAAAGCGCTCTGTTAATAGTTTTACTGTTCATTAAAAGCGATCAATGATGTAGAGTGCATGTTTGTCCATTTTCCCAGCGAGATTAGATTCTGAGTCAAGCTAGATTTAGCAAAAGGGACGATTAAATGTGGGGGGTTAATCGCCGTAAACATCATCAGTTGCCTATGTTTGCGTTCCAGCAGGTGGCCCAGTTAGTGCGAACAAAGTTGAAAGGTGGGCTACTTATTATACGTGTCGGCTATGTAGCTAGTAAACGAGTAATTATAAGTTGTTTGCGAAACTGAAACGAATAGGTAGGTCTAAAAAATGCTGCTTGTAACTCAGCGACTTAAAGGATACTATAGGTATAATCACCAGTTCATGGCAAACATACTCGTGCACTATTTTTCTCACCTGCTAGAATGGCACATTAACGATTTTGGGCTCGCGCTCGGCATTGGAATACACTTCGCATTTTGTGACCGGAATCGTTTATAAACCCCGAAATTCGGGTCAGTGGTTGGTGCGCAAAAAAATGTAGTGCATATTTTGGCCGTTGGTAAAAGTCGGTCGTTTGCCAACCGTGGACGTAGAGAGGCGAGACTAAGGGAGGGCTCGAGTTATGCCGAACTCGCCTTCGGCTCGCTCGGCATTGGTGTACAAAAGAAATGTAGTGCATATTTGGGCGTTGGTAAACGTCGTTTGCCAACCGTGGACATAGAGAGGCGCGACTAAGGGAGGGCCCGAGCTATGCCGATGTCGCCTTCGGCTCGCTCGGCATTGGTGTGCAAAAAAGTGTAGTGTGTGTTTGGCCGTTGGTAAACGTCGTGTTCCCCCTTGAACGTAGAGAGGCGAGACTAAGGGAGGGCCCGAGCTATGCCGAACTGGCCTTCGGCTCACTCGGCATTAGTGTGCATAAAAATGTAGTGCATATTTGGGCGTTGGTAAACATCGTTTGCCAACCGCGGACGTGAGAGGTGAGACTAAGGGAGGGCCCGAGCTATGCCGATCTCGCCTTCGGCTCGCTCGGCATTGGTGTGCAAAAAAATGTAGTGCATATTTGGGCGGTGGTAAACGTCGTTTGCCAACCGTGGACGTAGAGAGACGATTTTAAGGGAGGGCCCGAGCTATGCCGACCTAGCCTTCGGCTCGCTCGGCATTGGTATACAAAAAAAGTGTATGCAATGAAGGAAAACACGCCTTTTCGTGGGACAAAAGACTTCCAACACATGCGGGTGGAAATTAAAAAAAGTTTATGACCCCTCACGGACGTGCCCGCGCCCTATTTAACTCAAAATCATGTTTTCGTGCTTCCCCTCCAGCACAGTATTTTTTTGAAAAGTGGGAGAACTAGTTGCCGCGCCTTGTGCTTGGACTTATACGTGCGAATTTTTGTCCGGAATATCAATTTATTTGTGCAAACTTCTTTTAAGATTCAGTAATGAATTTAATCGCTCATTCTTGCTTGGGAGTTTTGTTAAACTGGAGAATTTCAATAGATTGAAGTCAGTAAGATTTGTGAGTAACGTATTTTGACTATTTTCTGTTACGCTATCTCATTGTAGAGAGTTTATTTTTGCCATTGGTTTAAATAAACCAGTATTTCTTTTGGTATCAAATTCATTTTTACTTTTATTACTACCTTCGTTGCTTCTCAATTTCATACGGGGAGAGTTAAGTCAGTGGCGCTCAACCATTGGTAAGTGCTGCGAAGGACGGAGATCAAATGCCCACAGAACGAACTACCGCTGTCACAGATCTCAAGCTCGTATTTTCTTGTTTAATCCTGAGCTAGTTGGCCGTTCATATGGCGAGTTTGAGGAAACGCAGCGGCAACTCACCCTACCGTTATAAATGTAGTGACATTTGGTCGTTTGTGATAAGAAGTTTTTTATCGGACGAAATTTAATTATTGCACGTGTTCATATCGCGGTTAAGAAGGGATGTGCGATTCAGTTCGGCGTAAGTGGGGAAGCGTTCATTCGAAGCTGGCGTTATCAATTCTAACTGCGATTGGCGGTGTTTTTGAAAATCCGGAATGAGATTATTTTATAGAAAAAGTGGCGTTCCTTTAAAGCTGGTAAAAGGTAAAAGCTGGTGGAAACCTTTTTCCGTATTCAGAAAAAGTTAATGCAACTGTGAGTAAACAAAGCAGTTGTAAGCTTAGTCTAAAAGGTTAGTATTTCGTTAAAAGGTTCTACCGTTCGAGCAGCAATCACAAACCTCTCATCTTATTTATCAAGCCAGTTCGAGTTATTTATTAAAGAAAAAGTGAAGTTTCCTGAAGCTGTCAGCCAGTGTTTCTATGTTTTTGAAAAGTGAGCCTGAATATCGCAAACCTTTTACGACCATTGATATTATGTGGATTATTAGAGAGAAAAAAACTGAGTAATTTAAGTTTTTTTAATTTTTAATTATCGACCGCCTGCGTGCGGGCTATTGTGTCCAAACAAGCTTTGTAAGCTTTTTTTGTGTTTCGGAATAAATTTTTGTCATGATCAATCTATTAATTGTGTGTTTATTCGAATTATTTGTGCGACCCAGGTAGAGTCTTTATGTCAGATTTTTTCTATTGGTGCCCAAGATTATGAAAGCTTGTGTAGTTAATTCTTTGGAATTTTCGGAAGTTGATCGAGGCTACCGATACGTCAATATTGGGCCTTTTCTTCATAGCAGATGCCGGAAGTGTACGAGGAGGGATTATAAAATTCTAAGTTTCAAGTTAAATTCCAATATGGCGCAACTCGATGATTATTGGGCGGTATTCAGAGGCTCATCTTTGGTTTCACTGAAACCTGTAATTTCAATTTCTAAAAATCTACACACCATGGCTTATTGCTATGGAATGCCCGTCATATAAAGGAATGCTACAATGCATCTGCTAAGATGTTTCTAGAACATACTGATAACACAAAGTAACGAATGTTGCGATTTTCATTGGTATTTGGTGCGAGACTGCTGAATGGAAGTTATTAGGTATTGCATCTTTTTCACATAAAGGGCGAATTCAATTCATAGAAATATTACGTAAATATTTTCTCTCGTTAAGAACGCTTATAATTACATTGAAGACCGGGTTCAAAGGTTTTATTGAAGGAGGTTTCGTTTTATTGATTTATTTTGCAGTCTTTAGGTAACTGATGAAGAGATTTATCGTTCATATCTCTATTTTTTTGCAAAACAAGCCGAATAAGATTAAATTTATTACGGCTGTTCCGTCCTTCAAACTGTGTAATAAAATTTTGTGTAATTTCTTTTTTGGCATGCGCCTTGTCAAGAGTCGTTACGTTCGTGAGGGGTTATAATGGGTACAACGTTTAGCCGAGCTTTTTGTAGCAACCAGTTTAAAACAAAAGCCACACTTGTAGATAATACATAATCAATTAATCAAACCATGTATATATTGTCAACGAGGCGATATGAGCGACTCCTATTACAGGCTCCTATTGCAATTAATTATTGACTTGACGCTCGACATCCTCTAACACATAAAAGGACATTTCGTGGCATTATGTTTCACACGTGATCCTCCATCCTCGTGTTTGAATACTAGGTATAAAATTTCTTTTTACATTTCAAGAAGCGCACCAGGTAACTTGGAATGAATAAATGATAAAAATCGCATGTTCATTTCATTTTTGCTCACTCATATAATCAGGAAATAGTTAAATATTCAAGAAGTCCTAAACTAACGCTGTAGTAAACTAACATTTACTATTTCGTTTTGCCACGGTTAAGGGTAAATGGTTGCTTGCTGTATTAACTGACCATTGTGCAGTGAAGCAAATGTATAATTTTGAGTCGCCCCAGCTACACCCATTGTAATCTCGACAGTTTGAATTGCAGACTAGTTCCTGCAGGACATTCCCTACTAATTTATGCTCAAGCCATACATAATATATTTTATTACTTCGCCAAAACTGTTCCTCTACTATTATGTGGTGACTGTTTTACACGTTTTGTATACTTGCAAATCAGTGAAGTGGTCCAAATTAACGACCGGACCCTTCGCTTTCGATAGACAGAAATTATTTTTTACTCACAGTCAACGCTCACTTTTATCCTCTTGCTGACAGTTGGGGGAACTCCATTGCTAGCGATGCACAAATACGCACCCATGTCGAGTCGGGATATTCTCGTTAATTCCAACGTTTCGCCTTCCCACTCGGAAACTGTAAAATGCAATAAGAAACGTGTTAAAAATGTTACAGTAATTTAGGTAATTAGATTCAGTGTCAACAGTGCTCGAAACCTATTGACAAACTAATTTCATATGTCATTAATTTGATACATCATTTACGCCAAACGCTTTCCATTATGGTGTTAAATTAGTACACATCTGAATTACAGAGATATAATCCGGACATTATCAGAGTAGTAGAATGAATTGCGACCAACTTTCTGCTTAATAAAATTTCTGTATGTCCTCAGGAATTTTAAACTACCATGTATAGGGAGAAGTGATTTATATAATAATGTGATGAGTTACACTACAACAACCATACCCCAGGTGCTGAACTAAACGACAGACCAAAACCTTTGCAATTGATAATGACTAAATGCCATATTACTGTGGTGAGGTGGAATTGGTTGTGAACCTCTTTTATTCGCGACAGAAACATGTTTAGTTCTGCATTTAAGGAATACCAGCATTCCATTTGGCTTGCCTATAGCACAGAATACATTAATAATGACTAAATCTGGGACGGATTGCGACTTCAATATTTTCAACCTCTGTTTTTCGATTGGCCGTAAAGAAACTGCACATACCAAAAAACGGTGACCTTATCCAGGGGAATTTTCCACTAGGCCGGAATATCACCGCTCGACGACATTTCCAAATAATGTGTTTTCAATTCGCTTGTAGAGTCGAGTACATTTATGTTTTCTCCCAATCGTCCCAGCGCTCGTTCGCTTGATAGCTCCATCGATTTAAAAGAGCACGGATGGACCGATTATGATGAAATTTTGTAAGCGGATTCTTTATCAAATTTGTAGATCGAAGTTCGTGAATTGTCAATGTAGGATAAAAAAATAAGGATGGCCCTTTTGACACCTCCGTTACTTATGAACCGAATTGCATGAAACTGGGAATAGTTTTAGCGATATAATACGCAAGGCCAAAAGTTAAACCTAATCGATTCAACAGTCACAGTGCACTTTTAGCGAATCTATTTATTTATTTATTGTCCATCTCTTGTTCTGGGCCCACAACAGGCTTGCGTCCAATTGCAGAGTGACCCGCATAATACTTTTCAGAGGTGCCCCTGCAAAAGGTCGTAGGTTGTTCCTTACTACTCCGGTATTTACCTTACGAATTAGGAGGAAAACTTAATTTGGAGTAACCGGTAGAATGCTCGAAGCTGATCTAAGGAAATTCCCATCTCTGCCACAGATGAAAAATTCTTACCTCAGGCCAGGTTCGAACACCCGACGTCCGGATATGTAGCCCAACGCTCTACCACTGAATCACATAATCTAATTGCGGGTGAACGGGAGGTCGGAAGTGGGTACCAACAAAGGAATGTTGTTGCTCCTGACAAGATCTTACTGGTGGTATAGTCAAAGCTTCAAACGCGAATTACGGGTCAACGGCACGTCGGAAGTAGGTACAGACAAAGGGAATATGGTAGCCCCCTTTCTGATGGCTAATAGAATACTGATCTGCCACACAAAAATGCGCTGCAGTGCCTTCGATCTTACACGAGGACTTTGATAATTTTTGTCATCTCGGACATTTATGAACCAAATTGCATGAAATTCAACCTTAGCCAATACCATGTAAAATGTGATGTTATCGCGTTGGCACGTATGTATCGTCAGGGTGCCTTTATCCAAGAACAAGTCCCGCCAGAGTGCGGGTCTTGGGTTCTCAATAAAATAGGTCTGTAATGAGAGAGGTCGGCTTTTAGGCTTTTAATAAGCAGCATTTTCAGTTAAAATTTCAGAAAAATAAATAGGAACATTATCTATGCGCCTGTAGGATCTATTTTTTGACACGTGCAATTTTGCGTCCCTAGGAAGTATCACCCGCTGAAATTTCACAAGAATTGGGGTCACAAAAAAGAAACGTAACCACGTTCTTGTTCTCTAGTGCGTATTTTCAGAATAATCCGTCCATAAAGCAATTGGGTCTGCCGCATGCACAAACCATTTTTTAACACCTGCGCATAATAAATAATGGGCCAAAAAAATAATCAAGGCTGCCAACAGAATCAATCTCTCTTTCTACATCTGGTAACGGATAAGCATCACACCACAATTATATTAAGTAAATTCAACACGGCGTTTTCCCCCACGCAGTGAGAAAAATCATCCCTACCGTCGATCAGGGCATGTGTTAGAATTAATTCTACTTCGAGCTGTCCTATAGTAAGCAGTAGGTTCAAGCGGAGCTGTCCCATAGTGCGGCACGACGATAACCACGCCGAGCTGTTGCATACTGAGCGTTACATTTGTTTTATTACATGCCATTCGATTCATAAGAAATATAATGTCAAAAGGACCTTCCTTATTTTTTTACCTACTTTACAAATTTGATAAAGAATCCACCTACAAAATTTCATTGTAATCGGTCCATTCGTTATCGAGATATTGTGGTAACAGACGGACGGACAGCCGGGCAGAGGGACAAACACCGCAAAATTATAAATTCGCTGGGGGGGGGGGGCTTAAGACGTTTTTTATAAAGATTTCCCCTGTAATTTTTGTAAAGGAACCATCAACCGTAATTTCCAGTGGGGACAAGACCACACTCTAGGTGAGGCCTCACCTGGCCGCCCCCTGGCTACTGGTGTTTTCCCGAGAAATTTTGGTGTAGTCGATTTTTGGTCAAAAAGGAAGGTTATACACTGCCTTTTTTTGAGGCCCGAAAAAAAAATGGTCTCAGATCGACCCGGAAAAGAAATGTTCTTATAGCATGTGGCCTGTAGAAGCCATAATTTCAAACAGTTCCAAGATTGGGCTACTACTTCAAAAGTTACAGCCCTTTGAATTTTCTTTCGAAATTGGTTTCTAGTCTATAACTTTGGATTGAGAAGTCTGATCGAAAAAGTACGAATTGTTTTGGATTCTACGCACCAAAATTAATAAGAAAAAGTGTTTTCCCGAGGAATTTTGGTGCAGTCGATTTTTGGTAAAAAAGGAACTGCCTTTTCTTGGGGCCCGAAAAAAAAATTCTCAGATCGGCCCGGAAAAAAAATTTTCTTATAGAATGTGGCCTGTAGAATCCATAATTTCAAACAGTTCCAAGATTGGGCTACTAGTTAAAAAGTTACAGCCCTTTGAATTTTCTTTCGAAATTGGTTTCTAGTCTATAACTTTTGATTGAGAAGTCTGATCGAAAAAGTACCAATTGTTTTGGATTCTACGCACCAAAATTAATAAGAAAAAGTGTTTTCCCGAGAAATTTTGGTGTAGTCGATTTTTGGTAAAAAAGGAAGGTTATACACTGCCTTTTTTTGGGGCCCGAGAAAAAAATTGTCTCAGATCGACCCAGAAAAAAAATTTTCTTATAGAATGTGGCCTGTAGAATCCATAATTTCAAACAGTTCCAAGATTAGGCTACTAGTTCAAAAGTTACAGCCCTTTGAATTTTTTTTCGAAATTGGTTTCTAGTTTATAACTTTTGATTGAGGAGTCTAATCGAAAAAGTAAGAATTGTTTTGGATTCTACGCACCAAAATTAATAAGAAAAAGTGTTTTCCCGAGAAATTTTAGTGTAGTCGATTTTTGGTAAAAAAGGAAGGTACACTGCCTTTTTTGCCCGAAAAAAAATTGTCTCAGATCGACCCGGAAAAAAATTTTTCTTATAGAATGTGGCCTTTAGAATCCATAATTTTCAACAGTTCCAAGATTGGGCTACTAGTTCAAAAGTTACAAACTTTTGATTGAGAAGTCTAATCGAAAAAGTACGAATTGTTTTGGATTCTAGGCACCAAAATTAATAAGAAAAAGTGTTTTCCAGGGAAATTTTGGTGTAGTCGATTTTTTGGTAAAAAAGGAAGGTTATACACTGCCTTTTTTTGAGGCCCGAAATTAATGAATAAATGCAGACTTTGCTCTACCAACTTAACCAGAATGAGAGTATATATTTGAATTTGTTAATAAATGCACTAAAAATATAACCAAGAGAAGAGTAAATTAATTGCATAATTGCGTCAAATGAAGTTAAAGTGTACTTCGAACGCAAATATTAAGTTAGGAGTGCACGGAAAGAACTTTGGCATTTCTTATTAAAGGTAGTCAGTTATGTGCTTTTTTACTCACCTGTCAGAGTCTTGTTGATCGAAATTTTGGAATTGTCGTCTCGTTTCCATTTTACGCTAGGTTGTGGCGAACCCGTAGCTCTACAGGTCAAAGTTTCATTTGCGCCCTCACGAACAATGACATCGCTACTACTGAAGGAATCGTCAATATTCGGGGGTACTGTAAAGAAACACAACATTTAAACTTAATTCAAACCGAATTTTCGAATCACGTTGTCAGAATTTCTCGTATTATTTTGAAAATGGTTGAGAAGTAAATACCAATGCAGGAAATATCAACGTAATAAAATTAAAGGATTTGACTTCTTGCTATGTCCACTTGAATATAATCGCCATCATAAATTTTACATCATATCATAACAATCTCTTTAGCTTTCTTTTTATTTCATAAAGGATTTTTTTATTTATTTTCAATCCGCTTAAGAATAAATTTGTTTTCCACCGTACACATCTAAAAATAAGTCGCCCCACAACCAAAAATATTCCACGTTATTGAGATTATGTCCATTTGGGGGGTAGTAGAAAAAGTTGCTCAATGCAAAACATTAACGACTTTAAGCTTAAATTTGCATTTAGATGCTGCGGTAAGCTGCAAATTAGAGTCACTTGAAACGTAGGGACGTAAATCAATTACACTAATTGTCACATATGATTTTCGCTCTGAGAGAAATTAGGTTTCTATTTCCCTTCATTAGTTATCAACTGTAAGAAGAATTATTAAGAACATGTATAGCTGGACAGCTGTTACTTTCAAACTTATCTTCGAAATCGTCTCTGGAGATTGCCAAATTCATTACTTTTATTTTGGCAGAAACCTGTTTCTAACCTAATCAAAATACGGTTTTCCGATGACCAGAAGGTACAAGATTTTGTCGTGTTAATTCGTGCAAAACAATAAAATTAACATTCCTTTATTTTATTTAAATTATAAATAAATCGGAAATTGTTCACTAATTCTCTGTCGAGAGCGTGTTAATTTGGATTATTTCTTTCTATATGCGAAATTCTATGAGACAGTAGATTGAGTCAATGCAATGCGCTTAGCTCCATAAAGAAACATTGGTATAAAAATTGGTATCTATAAATTTACATCCATATCGATCAATAAATAATGAAGTTATCAATTGGTTTCTCAAGCGCATTTTCATACGGAAACGTTTTAGACTTGTCACGGAAAATCTAATGTTGACATAAGCCAATTAAACACCGTATGAACTATTTTTATAAATTTTTACAATTTTTAACATTTCTACAAATTTTTGAAATATTTTCAAAATTTCCTACAAATTTCCATACGCGACACACACTTTTTGAAACATTTCTCTCATATTTTCATCACTTCTAATATCTTAATTTTTCTAAACATTCCAAAATACCGTTTTTACGTCTTTTTAAAGATTCTACACGTTTCTAAAACACTCTTCACAAATTTTCATTCCGTTTCCATAAGTTCTTACACATTTTCAAAATTGCTAAACATTTCCAAAACTTGGGACCCTTTTGTACAACATTTGCCTTATATTTCTATCACTTCTGAAATATGTCTTATTTTTTAAATCCAAAATTTAGAAAATAATTTTACACGAACTTCCAAAGTCTATGAAACGATTCCATTTCCCAAACGTGTTGTGAATCATTTTCAAAATTTTTTAAATATACATTTTCAAAATTTTCTGTATTTTTCCAACATTTCTGAAATATTTTCCTACAAATTTTGTATAATTTTGGAAGCAGTTAAAAATTTTCTACACATTTTTGATACAAAGCACTACACATTTATTATTTCCAAAATTTCCTACACTTTTCCAAAACTTGGGACAAATTTGTGAAACATTTTCCTCGCATTTCCTTTGCTTGCGAAATATTTCCTGTTTTCAAAATATTGTGTTACACTTTCTTAAAGTTTTCTAGACGTTTCTAAAACATTTCAAAATTCTTAGAAATTCTTCTAATATTTCCCGATTGCACAATTTCCTATTTTATGGAACGTATTCAATATTTCCAAGGCATTTTTGAAATATCTTAAAACTGCACTTTTGCAAGATTTTTGATACCTTTCGTAACGTAAATTTAATTTTATTTATTTACAATTAACTAACAATAAATTTAAAATGGATTAATTTATAACAGTAACTTAATAAAAAGTAATAATTATTTACCACTTACAATTTATAACATAACACAAATACATCGAAGTTTGAACTGGTTCGAAACACAATTCGGTTTGCTTATATAGCAAAAGACAATTGTTCTAAAATGTTCTTAAAACACGTCGGAATGTTCTATAACAAACACGTCACATCTTGAGAGGTCGCGGAGACGTTACACAAACCAAAGGGCATGATCTGCCATAAACCCGACCCTCTGCTAAAGGCTGTTTTCTCGCGATGTTCAGGATCCAGACGAACTTGCCAGTAGCCGCTTTTCATAACTAGGGTGAAAAACCGTTTTAGGACCCGTTAGCGTATCTAGCTTGTCATCTGGTAACGGATAACTTTCTTTGGCTTATAATCTACGCAAAAGTTCGGGCTGCCATCTTTCTTTTTCACTATCACCACAGGTGAGGTCCAAGGGCTGCTGGATGGTTCAATTATTCCTTCATTAGCCATGTCGCCGATGATTTCATCGTCTTCGCCGCGTTTAGCCCATTGTAGTCCAGGAGCCCAGGAGTTACCATATTGCTTCGGGCGACAGTCCTTTGTCTGAAGCAAACACATCTTGGTGGCGTCAAATTAACCTTTTAGCTTGGTCTTTTCAGGTTATTGTCAAATTTGTGCATAAGACTGTAATCATAGCTTGAAGCCTTTCTGGGCACTTCAAAGTGTCATCACTCTTGGCTGTTTACACAACGCGCGACTGCAGCTGCTGGGGTACACGTCCCAATCTCAGTGCCCTTCTTTAACTTGGTCGGGAATGAGTGAACAGGTCGCCTGAAGGGGTGGTTTTTGGAGCAAAAAGGGTGAAACACTCCCCTGAGAGGTGGAAACTCTTTTGATATGTATTTACTTGTCTGTAAGGAGTTCCTACACACAGTTTCCAAACTTTATAACTTTTTTCCCCTATATGTCGTTTTTACTGATAATTTACGTTGACTATATGTTTGTTTATTGATTTTAGATTTTATTAAGCGGCAGAGCAAGCCGATGCAAGCTTTATAGGGGAGTCGATGGCGTCCGTCTGTCCGTGAACACGATGACTGTCAAACGCTTGGACCGATTTGGTTCAAACTTTCTACAGTTCACCTATAGACCGCAAGTAATAAGCCTATTGCAAATGGGTCAAATCCAATGACCCCTTGGGGTCACGCCTTTCTGTCTCTGCCAAACGCTTGAACTTATTCAGTTCAAATTTCGCACAGTTGACCTATATGCCACATGTAAGCCAATTGAAAATGGGGCAAATCCAATGACTCCGTAGGGTCACACCGAGGTGCTCTGTCGCTTTTTTAAATGCTCTTTAGGGGTTTATTTTAATGTCACAATACAACATATTATCAGTAATAATCGTAATTTCTAATTCGAATTAATTTAGTTTTACCGAAAAAAAATGTTTTAGTTTTTTTAATTTGCCATTTTTTTTTCTGTTTTTTTTTAAATAAAATCTGGCACAATTTTTGTAGGTTGTACACCGAAAAATAAGGTCTTTCGAATACCTTAATAAACATTTTAGGTTGCTTTTTGAAAAAAAATTCAATCCAAAAAATTGTGATCGTAATATCCATCTACTAGCTCGAGCTAGGGAGCTAAAAAAAATTATGATATGACTAAGGCATTAGCGCAAAATAGTAATTACAGTGTTTAACCCTAAGCATTTAATTATAATTTATTAGTAAATGTCAGTTGAATTCATATCTAAACTCATAAAGGTTTGATGTTTTACGAACGCCCGATTTATTTCAATTCGCGTGTAAGTAATTTGTTAGCCAAATTTAATCTTAAAAGCGCTCTGGCCGAGCTTTAACAACCTCGGGAAGGGCCGAACCTCATCACCTACTGCTATTGACTAATAAAGTAAATTAGATTTAAGATACCTTTCGTATTAAAGTTTTATCGAAACGTTGTCACTTAATTATTTTTTTCTGTAACTTAAAATATGAATTACGTTTAACTCGGTGCTCAGTGGGGTAGTTGTTTTGAATCAAGGTTATTTAAATATTCGGAGGGTAGACGTCGATCATTTCTTTCCTTAATAAGGAAACAGGTGAACTCTTTGATCTTGGAAACGGAAGCAGATGATCCAGAGTAGATTTTATGCTGACATAGCTTAAACTGGGGTCACGTGGGTTGTCAATACGTGTAAGGTGTATTTTATAAGTATTCAGATTCTTTGTGACGTTGACGCGTTGTTTCATATAACACCTGCATCAAACTACCGTTGTACATGTCGACTATTTAAAATAATCGTGTAATTTGTCTTTCGTTGCGTTTAGAAATTTTACATTCTATAATTTATGTATCACGTTTCTGGTGTTATTACTTTAGATTTCAACACGAGTTTGCAATTTTTGCTTTACGTCTAACTTTTAGTTGTATGTGTGTTCATTGATTCTTCGGTACCCTTCTAACTGTATATAATACATAAGGCAAAATAAAATCCTAGGAATTTAGTTTAGACAAAGGGGGTGTTATTAGAGACAGGGCATGCAAATAAAAACCTGCAAAGAACGTAAAGGAGCAGCTTTCGAAACGATACCAGCTATCGATCTTATTAAGAACTATTAAACATCGTTAATGGAATTTTATTTTAATTTTTCACCATGTCATGCTAAATATGTTTAGATACTAGATAGATTGTCGGCGGATTCGAATGAAGACACGGGGTAAATAAAGCAACCAGGAGTAAAACAAGGAAAGGAGTATGTAACGTGAGTACCATATTTCAAATTTAGTAACTTCGAACTTTACTCGTTGATCGTTGAGTGAGAAATATAGTAGAGGAGCAGCTATAATGTAATATTGCGATACATATCACTCGCCGAAGCATCCTGCACCCCACAGTCCACAGTGGGAGGGGTGGGAGTGTGTTAGACGTGCGACTTTGATGCTTAAACGTCGCCCAACAGCATGAACGCTACTACAACTGTGGGAATCGACTATCCTCTTTACAAAATCGCCTCATCTAAATTAATCGAGTTGCGCCTCTTTATATTTAAATGTTTCAAACACCATTTGAAAATCAATTAGTAACAGTTTTTTGAAAAACAATAATTTCCATTCCGCGTTCTCGTGTACCTGAAGTCGCACTATCGCAATAGCTACCTAGCACATGCTAGGAAGCTAATGTTCCATAAATAAGAAAATTGCATTTCTGCGCATGCGCAACACGATTTTTGCACATGAATTTTGTTTGCTTTTATTAAAGGGACTTACCATAGAAATTTCGTTTAAATTGCTTCAGAAACAAGATCGTTGCGTTTTGCACATATGCAGCACAATTTTTTGACTTTGACAATTTTTTTCTCCGTTTTTTGATAATATAACCCGGCCCAATTTTTTGTAGGTTGTACACAGGAAAATAAGGTTTTCCAAATAATAGAATAAAAATTTTAGGTTGCTATTTGAAAAAAAAGGTTCGATGCCGTTACGGCGCTCCCAAATTTCTTTTCAAAAATCCGGCCCGTTATTTTTCTGTTCGGTATGCCTAAAACATATATACAAAATTTCAACAAAATCCGTCGAGCCGTTTTCTCAGAAAATTGCCAACAAACGTACGTACGTTACATACAGACGGAAAAAATTTTTATTCTTTAAAAGTTGCTTAAAATGGTCTAAAACGTCGACATTTGATGAAATTTTGAAATGTTCAAAAAACGGCTATCGCAATAGCTACCTAGCACATGCTAGGAAGCTAAAAATGTTTTTGAATTTTTTAGGGGACATCCTATGACTTTTATGTAAATTTAGATTCAAATTTTCGTCTTCGTATCTGCACATAATCGCGTTCGATATTTTACGATTGATTATTTTGCGTTAAACTACCTTCAATTGCCTATCATTTAAAAATTTATGCTTTGAGTCAACAAAAAGGTCACTTAGGGACCTCATATCTCCGCCAAACTTTTACACTCACTTAATCTCGTAGTTTAACGTTTTTGTCATCCTACTTCGTACACTCTTTAGAAATTTTTGAGGCACTCAAAGTGTCATACGATAGCCCCATCCTTCTTGTTTCGATCGCCGTGCCTACCGTTCGAATACCTTGAATATTATCGAAATTATTAATTTTTTGTAAGGTATGCAAAATTCGAAAAATGAAATTGCCCCCTACGGCCAAAACCGTTAATAATTTTTTATTTTGGTTTTTTTTTGCAATCCCCGTAATCAAATGCATAAGGTGACATCGAAAAAGTGATTTTTGACAATTTTTTTTTCGATTTTTTCGAAGGATTTGGAAATTTTCTCGTTTTGAATTTTTTGGTATAACTTCTGAAGTAAGCTTCGTTTTTCAACGAATCTTGCTGTAACGGCCGACATGTCGGTTGATCGAATCGGCAACGTTTTTGAATTTTTCAGGGGAGTATTCTTTACTTCTCGACTCCTTGACGTTTCCGAATAAATGCAAAAAATGTAAAAAAGTGCCGTTTATTGGAGGGAGGGGGTGGTGGTCGGGAGGGATGTCGATTGCGATGTCGGAGAGTATCGATTATGTGCGTTTCAAGGGGGTGGGGGGAAGCAGTTCTAGTTTTCGAATAATTCAGCCCTCTTTTCACCCTCGCTTTCTCGTCCGGTGCTCCCACGCGGCTCAAATGGCACATACCATCACGATCAACTTGAACTTCCAAAGGGGACACCACGTCAATCCTCTTTTGATCGCCAGTTACAGTAAGACGCAGTAGTAATTGGTCATTAGCCATCCACGAATATTTGATCGTGATGGTATGTGTCGTTTTCGAGATACGATGAGGGTGACTATTTCAACCCCTTGAACGGCAGTGCACCTGGGTATTTTTGTTGATTATTTATTCTCGAACTATCATTAGCCATCCACGAAAATTTGATCGTGATAGTAAATGCCGTTTTCGAGATACGACAAGGGGGTGACTATTTCAACCCCTTGGACGGCAGTGCACCTAGGTATTTTTGTTGATTATTTATTCTCGATCGTTCATTAACCATCCCTGAAAATATGGTCGTGATAGTATGTGCCGTTTTCGAGATACGATAAGAGGGTGACTATTTCAACCCCTTGGACGGCAGTGCACTTAGGTATTTTTGTTGATTATTTATTCTCGATCTATCATTAACCATCCCCGAAAATTTCATCGTGACAGTATGTGCCGTTTTCGAGATACGACAAGGGGGTGACGATTTCAATCCCTTGGACGGCAGTGCACCTGGGTATTTTTGTTGCTATTTATTCTCGATCTATCATTAACCATCCCCGAAAATATGATCGTGATAGTATGTGCCGTTTTCGAGATACGATAAGAGGGTGACTATTTCAACCCCTTGGACGGCAGTGCACCTGGGTATATTTGTTGATTATTTATTCTCGATCTACATTAACCATCCCCGAAAATTTGATCGTGATAGTATGTGCCGTTTTCGAGATACGACAAGGGGGTGACTATTTCACCCCCTTGGAGGGCAGTGCACTTGGGTATTTTTGTTGATTATTTATCTCGATCTACATTAACCATCCACGAAAATTTGATCGTGATAGTATGTGCCGTTTTGGAGATATGATAAGAGGGTGGCTTGTTCAACCCTTATTGACT